AATCCACTACAAGTTACGTTTTCTATGGGTAACTTGTTGGTAATACAGTTATTATCTGTATAATTATTAAATGGTGTCGGATTTTCCGACAGGTCCTGATCTTAACTCCCGTGCCACCTCTTGCGTGGCTTACCCTTCATCAGTCGGGTCCTCATGTGTTGGGAGCCCTACACCAGGCGTCAGCCACTGACGTCGGGAATAAAGCATGTATTTAGCCAGCAGTGGAGCTAATGGTCGTGGATCAAGGTGCGCCGCAGGTATACGAGAGAGAGAAAATAGTCTCACATAACAGCATCTGAGGTGTGAAATGTGGAGTGTCAAGACTACCAGCGCCTACAGTTGACGCGTGTCAAGGATTACAACCAACACCTTCCCCCCGTCCCAGCGTAGAGCTCCCCCCCCCCACCACCTGCACCCCTGGCACAGCTCCCTCCCACTACCACACCCCCGCCACACACACCCACTAATCCACAACCACACACCACAACCATACAACCAGCCACTGACCAACTAATCCACCAACACCCACCGTAAGTTTGGAAACTGGGAGTTAAAGAAGACAGGTAACTGTAACAAAACCAAAAAAAATACAGATTGGTTAAGAACTTTTCAAGCGAGAGATGTTAGACCAGTGTTAGCACTGGTGTCTTTAAGAGTACCCTCTAGGGGGGCGGAATGTTGCTGCACAGTAACTGTCCCAATCAAAGCAGGAGCAGTTGCTGGCCCGACAATGTTCAGTAAAACATCTAAGTTATTGGGACCGTTTAAAACATCTGGGCCTGAGCTCGCTGGAGCGCAGGCGAGAGATGTAATTAGTTCCACTGAGGGACGTACTGCAGGGATTGGTTCCAAATCTGCGCACTGAAATAATTTAAGAGACCTGGAGCCAGATTCACGAAGCAGTTACGCAAGCACTTACGAACGTGTACATCTTCCCTCAATCTTTGACGGCTTTGGTTACATTTATTAAACAGTTTACAAGCATGAAAACTTCCCAATCAACTGTTGTTATTGTTATAAACAGCCTCCTGGTACTTTGGAGCTCATTAAATGTTTAATAACTGTAAACAAAGCCGCCAAAGATTGAGAAAAGATGTACAGGTTAGTAAGTGCTGGCGTAACTGCTTCGTGAATCTGGCCCCAGGAGGCCAGGCAGCATGTACAAAATAACCGCTCTGAAAAGCAGAGCAACAGTGGCTCTGTGGCTCTGGTCACAGAGTTCTTGTACGTAGTTGTACGCTAACAGACGACTCTGTAAACAGTAGGGGCTCAAGACTCCTCAAGACCCTAATCTAAATATAAGGAACATACCTAGCCTACTCCTTCAGATGTTCAAAATGGAACTTGGTAAACACCTACAAAGAATATCTGATCAACAAAGCTGTGACTCGAAGGTTAGATTGCGAGCAGCGGCGTCAAACAGCATGATTGACCAGGCCGCGGGGTCATGGATCCTAAAGCCTGCTCAAGTTATGAGTCAGTGGGAAGGGGGGGGGAGGACAGATGTACCAAGGGAGGGCTGGCTGGCCAGTGGAAGAGAAAGGGAAGTAAAGGTTAAGGGGGGTTGGGGAAGATTGTGCCAACTTTCAGAGAAGGAGGAGGGGAGAGGTTATGGGGGTTGCTGCTCCATATAGTGTCTGTACATGAGAATGTCTGTCCAAGGTTAGAGGTACTTGGAGCCTGCCTTACGAAGGTAGGCATGGTAACTAGTGATTGTATAGGAAGAGTCGTAGGGAAGTCAGGTTCAGCCCTCCCATGCCCCGCCTGAAGAAGTATCGCCTGCTGTTCCCAATCGCAGATAATGGCTTCTAAGTCTGAAATGGAGATTTACTCTTCCAGAGAGTCTTCGAAAATATTTCCAGCTGTTCATATGATTCCAACTTACAACGTAACCACAACGTTTTTTTACCAAGTTGTTACAATGTTGTATCAAAGTAGCAGTTGTAACTATTATTGTTGTGGTGTTACGTTGTGTTGCTGGGCGCTTGTTTTGAGAGAGGGGAGGGTAAACGGCGGGAGGGGAACAGGGGAAAGGAAAGGAAAGGGTAGAGACATCCGGGCACCCCTTCTCTCCATCTATATAAAATAGCACGTGACCACCTGGGTAGTGTCACACCCAACATTGACCACCTGGGTGGTGTCACACCCACCATTGACCACCTGGGTAGTGTCACACCCAACATTGACCACCTGGGTGGTGTCACACCCACCATTGACCACCTGGGTGGTGTCACACCCACCATTGACCACCTGGGTAGTGTCACACCCAACATTGACCACCTGGGTGGTGTCACACCCACCATTGACCACCTGGGTAGTGTCACACCCAACATTGACCACCTGGGTAGTGTCACACCCAACATTGACCACCTGGGTGGTGTCACACCCAACATTGACCACCTGGGTAGTGTCACACCCAACACTGACCACCTGGGTAGTGTCACACCCAACATTGACCACCTGGGTGGTGTCACACCCAACATTGACCACCTGGGTAGTGTCACACCCAACATTGACCATGTGGGTAGTGTCACACCTAACATTGACCATGTGGGTAGTGTCACACCTAACATTGACCACCTGGGTAGTGTCAAACCCAACATTGACCACCTGGGTAGTGTCACACCCAACATTGACCACCTGGGTAGTAGTGTCACACCCAACATTGACCACCTGGGTAGTGTCACACCCAACATTGACCACCTGGGTAGTGTCACACCCAACATTGACCTCCTGGGTAGTGTCACACCCAACATTGACCACCTGAGTAGTGTCACACCCAACATTGACCACCTGGGTGGTGTCACACCCAACATTGACCACCTGGGTAGTGTCACACCCAACATTGACCATGTGGGTAGTGTCACACCCAACATTGACCACCTGGGTAGTGTCACACCCAACATTGACCACCTGGGTGGTGTCACACCCAACATTGACCACCTGGGTAGTGTCACACCCAACATTGACCATGTGGGTAGTGTCACACCCAACATTGACCACCTGGGTAGTGTCACACCCAACATTGACCACCTGGGTAGTGTCACACCCAACATTGACCACCTGGGTAGTGTCACACCCAACATTGACCACCTGGGTAGTGTCACACCCAACATTGACCACCTGGGTAGTGTCACACCCAACATTGACCACCTGGGTAGTGTCACACCCAACATTGACCACCTGGGTAGTGTTACACCCAACATTGACCACCTGGGTAGTGTCACGCCCAACATTGACCACCTGGGTAATGTCACGCCCAACATTGACCACCTGGGTAGTGTCACACCCACCATTGACCACCTGGGTAGTGTCACGCCCAACATTGACCATGTGGGTAGTGTCACACCTAACATTGACCACCTGGGTAGTGTCACACCCAACATTGACCACCTGGGTAGTGTCACGCCCAACATTGACCACCTGGGTAGTGTCACACCCAACATTGACCACCTGGGTAGTGTCACACCCAACATTGACCACCTGGGTAGTGTCACACCCAACATTGACCACCTGGGTAGTGTCACACCCAACATTGACCACCTGGGTAGTGTCACACCCACCATTGACCACCTGGGTAGTGTCACACCCAACATTGACCATTGACCACCTGGGTAGTGTCACACCCACCATTGACCACCTGGGTAGTGTCACACCCAACATTGACCTCCTGGGTAGTGTCACACCCAACATTGACCACCTGGGTAGTGTCACACCCAACATTGACCACCTGGGTAGTGTCACACCCAACATTGACCTCCTGGGTAGTGTCACACCCAACATTGACCACCTGGGTAGTGTCACACCCAACATTGACCTATTGGGTAGTGTCACACCCAACATTGACCACCTGGGTAGTGTCACACCCAACATTGACCACCTGGGTAGTGTCACACCCAACATTGACCACCTGGGTAGTGCCACACCCAACATTGACCACCTGGGTGGTGCCACACCCAACATTGACCACCTGGGTAGTGTCACACCCAACATTGACCACCTGGGTAGTGTCACACCCAACATTGACCACCTGGGTAGTAGTGTCACACCCAACATTGACCACCTGGGTAGTGCCACACCCAACATTGACCACCTGGGTAGTGTCACACCCAACATTGACCACCTGGGTAGTGTCACACCCAACATTGACCACCTGGGTAGTCACAAACACCCTTGACCACCTGGGTAGTGTCACACCCAACATTGACCACCTGGGTAGTGTCACACCCAACATTGACCACCTGGGTAGTGTCACGCCCAACATTGACCACCTGGGTAGTGTCACACCCAACATTGACCACCTGGGTAGTGTCACGCCCAACATTGACCACCTGGGTAGTAGTGCCACACCCAACATTGACCACCTGGGTAGTGCCACACCCAACATTGACCACCTGGGTAGTAGTGTCACACCCAACATTGACCACCTGGGTAGTAGTGTCACACCCAACATTGACCACCTGGGTAGTGCCACACCCAACATTGACCACCTGGGTAGTAGTGTCACACCCAACATTGACCACCTGGGTAGTGCCACACCCAACATTGACCACCTGGGTAGTGTCACACCCAACATTGACCACCTGGGTAGTGTCACGCCCAACATTGACCACCTGGGTAGTGTCACACCCAACATTGACCACCTGGGTAGTGTCACGCCCAACATTGACCACCTGGGTAGTAGTGCCACACCCAACATTGACCACCTGGGTAGTGTCACGCCCAACATTGACCACCTGGGTAGTGTCACACCCAACATTGACCACCTGGGTAGTGTCACACCCAACATTGACCACCTGGGTAGTAGTGCCACACCCAACATTGACCACCTGGGTAGTAGTGCCACACCCAACATTGACCACCTGGGTAGTGTCACGCCCAACATTGACCACCTGGGTAGTAGTGCCACACCCAACACTGACCACCTGGGATAGTGTCAACTAACATGTCCTCCCTCATGTGTGGCGCCACAGATGACAACGATTCCCTTTGTGTTACAGCTGCAGGAGGCGGTGGTGGGGATGAAGGGGACGCTGACGGAGGCGGTGACGAGGCTGAGCACCGTGGTGGAGGACCCCAGCCTCTCCAGGGAGGTGCAGGAGGCCCGACAGCGCTGCGACGACAACACCGCCGAAGTCCTCAAGTTGGTCCTCTCCCTCAAGGCCGACATTACCTCACTCCAGTAGGTGTTATGGGGGGAGGGTGTAAGATATATAGTTTGTGGGGCGTGTGTGTCGTTAAGTTTATTTTGATAATAATATACATTATATATCATTTTCCTCCTCCTCCCCCTCAAGTGCGAGGTCAAATTCTCTGGTCTTTTCTTCATGGCTCAGGAATGAGTCTTGTTGAGGGACGTGGGTGTCAGGTGTGAGGGGGCGGGTGTCAGGTGTGAGGGGGCGGGTGTCAGGTGTGAGGGGGGCGGGTGTAAGGGATGAGTGTCACCTGTTAAACTCGTCCTAGCCAACACTTGATAACGTTGGTGCAACATTACATGTGGATATTGTGCCCACTCTACTCTTTCTGGAGTTACAACCCAAAGATCTAGATGTTCATCAACGGGATCTCAGTGACAAAGTCTGGAGATCAGTCTTAACTTATCCCCTAGAAATCACAATGTGTCTAATTACATTGCGAGTTGCAGATTTGTCTAAAATCTGAGTTTTGCAAATATTAAAACTGCACCTCATTCTAAATTATGTTTTGCTTTGGTTCGTACAAATAAAGTTTTGGTAAATAGCATTTGTTGCGAGTGTGTTGTTGTTGTTTAGCGTACTTTAAGTGTAGTGTTTAACTGTTTGTGATGTGTGCAGGAAGGAGGTGTGTGCTGTGAGCGAGCGACAGGAGGGGCTGCAGACATCCATCACCCACCTGCTGGAGGAGCGCAGGCTCATGGTGGCTGACCTCTCACATGCTGGTGTTATCTCTCTTCACACCAGGTAGGTACTAGCCTCCCACCCTCCTCTGCTTGCTTGACTCCTTTGTTGTGCCTATCTACCTGTGCTTAAAAATTATAATTATTTTAGCAACATAGCTAAGCTGGAACTGCTGTCCCATGAAGCTCAACCGTGAGAATGACGCAAAGACGTATAAAAGGGCAGCAAGTAAAGAGGGCTCTCCTTGTCATGTACAACATTCCAGTAAAGAGGGCTCTCCTTGTCGTACACAACATTCCAGTGAAGAGGTCTCCTTGTCGTACACAACATTCCAGTGAAGAGGTCTCTCATTGTCGTACACAACATTCCAGTGACGAGGGCTCTCCTTGTCATGTACAACATTCCAGTGAAGAGGTCTCCTTGTCGTACACAACATTCCAGTGAAGAGGTCTCTCATTGTCGTACACAACATTCCAGTGACGAGGGCTCTCCTTGTCATGTACAACATTCCAGTGACGAGGGCTCTCCTTGTCATGTACAACATTCCAGTGACGAGGTCTCTCCTTGTCATGTACAACATTCCAGTGACGAGGGCTCTCCTTGTCATGTACAACATTCCAGTGACGAGGGCTCTCCTTGTCATGTACAGCATTCCAGTGACGAGGGCTCTCCTTGTCATGTACAGCATTCCAGTGACGAGGGCTCTCCTTGTCGTACTCAACATTCCAGTGACGAGGGCTCTCCTTGTCGTACACAACATTCCAGTGACGAGGGCTCTCCTTGTCGTACTCAACATTCCAGTGACGAGGGCTCTCCTTGTCGTACACAACATTCCAGTGACGAGGGCTCTCCTTGTCATGTACAGCATTCCAGTGACGAGGGCTCTCCTTGTCATGTACAGCATTCCAGTGACGAGGGCTCTCCTTGTCGTACTCAACATTCCAGTGACGAGGGCTCTCCTTGTCGTACACAACATTCCAGTGACGAGGGCTCTCCTTGTCGTACTCAACATTCCAGTGACGAGGGCTCTCCTTGTCATGTACAGCATTCCAGTGACGAGGGCTGTGACTCATACGTCAGGCTGCGAGCAGCCGCGTCCAACAGCCTGGTTGATCAGTCTAGCAACCAGGAGGCCTGGTCGACGACCGGGCCGCGAGGACGCTAAGCCCCGGAAGCACCTCAAGGTAACCTCAAGGTAAGGGCTCTCCTTGTCATGTACAACATTCCAGTGAAGAGGGCTCCTTGTCGTACACAACATTCCAGTGAAGAGGAATCTCCTTGTCATGTACAACATTCCAGTGATGAGGGCTGTCCTTGTCATATACAACATTCCAGTGACAAGGGCTCTCCTTGTCATATACAACATTCCAGTGACAAGGGCTCTCCTTGTCATATACAACATTCCAGTGACAAGGGCTCTCATTGTCATGTACAACATTCCAGTGAAGAGGGCTCTTCTAGTCATGTACAACATTCCAGTGAAGAGGGCTCTCTTTGTCATGTACAACATTCCACGACGCAAGTATTCACTCCAAACTACTGCTCTGCTCCGTTGGGAAGATGAGACCTAGATGTTAATTAGGAGCACTACATAGTGAAGTGGACTAAACACAAATTCAGTCTCGCCTTGTTACACAAGAACAAGAAAATTATTTCAACACTGAAAACCTCATTATACACCTGTAATTGGACTACTGTGTTCAGGCCTAGAAATTACTGTTTCGAGAGGGTATTTATGTACATCACTAGAAAATTATCTAATTTTGAAGTGAAACATCACTTAAAGTTTACAAGGCAACATTTGCCACCTTTTAAACCCAGGTTGGTGTTCTCTCTAAACATTTTACTCGTTTCTGTCATTGCCTTCACCTTGCATGGAATGCATGTGTACACTTACCTAGTTGTGCTTTTGGGATTAACTTTCAACTCTCACAATCTTCAGTCGACTGGTTCGCAGGAATTTTGGGCTTTATCAAATTGTGAGTGGCCAGCACAAGGCTTCTGCTCCTTCTCTTCGTATCTCTGGTGAGATCATCTCTGGACCTTTTGCCTTAGTCAAATCCAATTCTTATCAAATGCCTTCTTACTTCATCTATGGTTATCTTCAAGTCTTCCAGTGTTACGTGACACCATTCACCTCAGTTCAATAGCTTTTCCTTGTTCTATTATGAAGAACCTCTAGACTCTGCTGTCGAGTATCTCGTACATCTCGCTTCTGTATTACCTGCTCCTTATCTGTTATTTTCCTCCTGATGTGATTGTGAGGCAATTTGGGCTGCATTTTTGCATTGTCAAGTATTTACATGTGTGCACATACTGTAATTCACAGTGTTGGAGGGACAGGAAGCCAGGGTGTATTCATACACATTTGGCTTTTATTTAGGTTCGAGATTCCGGGATTCGAACCTGGAATTCTCGATTGTGCGTCGAGAACGAATCCGACTGTACTACCGGGACTGCATGCATGTTCCTGCATGTGGAAGACCTTTAAAAAATGGCAATACAGTACGGTATATAGTCTATGAAGCAGGTAGGCAATTCCTGACAGACACTTCTGTTATTCTACACTCCACCTGTAACTTAATACACATTGTATTACAATAATGAGGGACAAAGTTAATATATAAATAACACAGAAAGCTGAATATATGCAATATATATACAGTAGAGTATTTAATGAAACCCCAGAAACAGGTTAGTCAGAGAAGAGAGCCTGGTAACCATATCCAGAAGATGATGACAAAGACGAAGCTGTAAGAGGAGTCAGTCAGTCAGCAGGTGTTGGTGGTGGGCTTCCTAACCACAGGCCTCCCGCACCACCACAAATAATGGTAACCTCACCTCTCATGGGATACCTGTGGTGGTAGAGGGAGATGGGGGTGGTAGGGAGTTATTTTGGTGTGACTACGGTGGTGAGCCATTGAGATGGTAGTGCGCTTGTAGCCCTAATTACACCTGGCTTAATTTACATCTTGTCATCAAAATTCTTCAGAAACACTTCGTAAGATTAAATAAAGCATTCATTAAAGGCTTATTGTCCCATGAGAGGTAGCTTCTATTTTATATCGAGTGAGTGTACTTGTATGGTATAATGCTGCTTGGTAAATTTTCCACAGATCTACAACCCAGTTTTCAACCCACTGATTACTCAATATTTCTAAAGTGTAAAAAATTCACCAGTTTTAGTTTTATCATTTTGTGGTGTACTTGAGTTGATTATTATTAAACTAAATACTTTACTATTAATATCCCGCTATTATATTCTTTCTGTCATATTTGTAAACGTAAGACATGTGCTCTTCCTCTATCCCTATCTAGGGAATATAAATTGAGTTTTCATCATCTTTTAATAAAGGTGGTTAATAATGCCTGGTATCAACTTGGTCATCCTACTCTATATACTCTCAAAAGGCTCTACATTCATTCTTTAGTATGGTACACAAAACTTTACTTCAACATCCATTATCTTATACCAATAAGAGAAAATGACTGATAATGTCTGTTTATCCAAGGTTGAAGACCAGATGCTTGGGGCTTGCCTCATTCAACTTTGCAGGGGTAAATGGTCTCGGGCATGGGGCAGACATAGGCTGCTTGGGGATCCCCCAGAATTCAAGATGGAATAGCTTGCCACAGTCACATACTGACCTCCCATCCCTTCCATAACTTGATTTTGGCATTGTCTGCCAGCTAGCCAGCAAAATATATTAAAAATACAAATTTCCAGCAAAATATATTAAAAATACAAATTTCCAGCAAAATATATTAAAAATACAAATTTCCAGCAAAATATATTAAAAATACAAATTTCCAGTAAAATATATTAAAAATACAAATTTCCAGCAAAATATATTAAAAATAAAAATTTCCAAACAATTGTTATGGTAATATGAAAAATTATGCACTGATGTCTGGAAAAATAATATAAATTTTCTAATCATTATACTTTGCCCATAACAGCATAAAACAGATGATTCCTCCACAGCTTCAAAGGCTTTCTCAAGCCCTTCCCCAGCTCAAAGCCAAAGAGATTCTATTATACTTTTTAATATTTCACACCGCTAGGCTTCCCCAACCAGTGAACCATCTGTACACCAATGGGACTATTATTTTTATGAGACAGTAACAGTAAAAAGCAAAAAAAGTCAGCAAAAAGAGATAGATTGACAGAGAAAGACAGACAATCAAAGATAGGTTTGCAGAGAGAGAGACTAGGTTGGCCAAGGCAAAGCTATTGCGACTGGAAGACAAACAGAAAAACTTAAGAGGCAGACTAGAGATCTAGAAGGAAGGAGAAGGGAGGGAGGGAGGGGAGGTGAGAGAGGGGGCAAGTGGTGTGATAGTGGGGGATGTTTGGTGAGAAAGGTGAAGAGGGTACGAAAGAGAGAGATGGGGGAAGAGACCCAGTCACCATTGGATACCCCCTCCTAGTGTATCATATGCACCACATTAAAGGATTCCTCATCCAATCAGTGCCATGCACAAGAGATATATTTTGATAAAACACATTTAATAAAATAAGTACTGTAGATGAATTTAACATGGCAGATATGATAACCTTTTGTATATTTTTGACTAATTGTATTATATATTTGCTAGTCTTAAAAAGTAAGGAAAAATTCAGTGATTTTCTAATTAAGCCTGTTCAACAAAATCAGCATCTGCTGAAGTTGCCCCAGGAGCTTGGAGGGTTGTCAGTGTAATCCCAGTCACTGCACTTGTAGGTGAAAGCTAAATGGGCATTAACTCTAATACCATGGTTATGTCCTCCCAGGTCCAAGCTAGAAGGCCGTAGCAGTGGAGCAGGTGAGGGCATTGTTGTACAACCAGGTCGCTCGGGTTCTGGGAGCCACAGCAACGACTCTGGTGTGGCATTGCTGCTAGAGCGAGCCCACCAGGCCTTCACAACAGACCACACACCTTCACCCACACCCACCAATCAGAGAGCCTCAGACCAGGTACTGTACAGGGGGGCAGAGATACCTATGCACAGATGTTGACTTTTTTTTTTTTTGCATGCTCACCCAAAATTAATGACAGGTAGTAGTCTAATATTTGAATTATTTATACCCTAGGTCAAGTGCTTTAAAATGGAATATGGACACCACTGATTTGTCCAAAATTGTGATGTCCAGAGAGCCAAATATGTTTGGTTGCACACCAAAAGTGGTTATGTAATTAACTTTTGGATTGTAGCATTCATTTATGTATATAAATTAAATCTGTATGTTCCTTCCATGAAAGTGATGATATATTACTTTCTTATTATGATTCTTTAACCATACTGTTTATGGAGTGATTTTTATTTTTCACCCTGCTAACTTGTCTAACCATGTGTGTGCACTTGCAGGACTCTCTGCCTGAACAACCATCATTACTGGTGCCACCTTCTGTGTATGACTATGTGGCTGGTCTCAGGTCTCACTCCCACCAGTCATCCTCCGCCCTCACTGTCCCACCTCACACTGACTCTACGCACAATAGACAAAGTAAGGAAGAAGAACTATGATCCACTGTAACGAATTTTGTTCAAGTCAATTTGCTTAATTTTCATTTCATGATACAATTGAATTCTTTATTATGAAACGACACATCACCTCTAGTTATGGAGGATGCTTTTGGTGCCATTATTGTCATTTTCTACAAGACTGTATATTGATTGAAGAATTTGGATAATATACTGTATTTTATAGGTAAGCATATTGAAACACCATAAAGTTCATATAAATATACAGTGTAGGCTGTAGGCTTTACTTAATGTTCAGTACCTCAATTTATTGGTCCGCTTAATTTGGTGGAAAGCATATGCTGCCTCATAAACCTTCATTTTACAGAAAGTGCCTCTAAAATCAATACTGCTTCAGTTTAAAGGTGTAACTGCAAAATCATTACTGCATTTCACATCTTTACTATTCTTTTAATTTTATTAGTAAATATTATTTGTTTTAATATTTTACTGTGCTGTACAATAACTGAGCAGTTGATCTTAATAATTTGTATTTTGCTCTCTGAGCTTGGGTCGTCTCCATTCCTCCCCAAGTGAGAGCCTTATGGTCCACCCTGAAACCCCTACATGCACTAGGGTCTAGTCACCTATCACCCTCCGCCATCGCAAGGAACTTTGCAAATGGTCTTGTCACAACTGTGGATTGAACACAGGGCTCCTGTTAAGAACATATTTATCCACCAAACACCCCAGTATGCCCACCTCATCCTCCTAAGGTTTCCCAACATCAAAAGACTATCGTACTAAAGCACCCTTTCCTAACCTACCAGAGAACCCAAAACAGAAAATGGGACAGTATGTCAATTTTGGTAGCCACTACCATGTTCTAATACAACGATTTTTAGCCTTAGATAAAGTATGAGTCAAATTGTGATGCTCTATTAGAAGGGGGTGTGCATGTCATCATCTTTACATGAATTAGTTTCATCCATCCAAGATAAATTTTAGTACAAGATAAGTTAAATGCATCTTGCTTCTGAATTCCTATTTTGGATTTTGGGCCTGGGATTATGGGTCTGACTTCCATTTTGTCATGGCAGATAATATGGGAGGGTAGAGGAAGTAGTAGTAGTTCTGAAGGGCTGCTAGGTAGTCCTCTAGCAGGATACAAAAGCAGAGTGCTTTTGTATCTGGGTTATGCATGCATGAGCTCTGGGCTTTGTCCATGATGGATGCCAAACTTCTTTTAATAACTTGTTTTATTATTTTTGCAGGTGTGAGCGCTACAATAGGTGGAGACAGTGAAGATCTGGGGCTGGTATATGATTCCGACTCCTCTCTCACAATTGCAGCGAATAAAACCATCAGCCTCAGTACCTCCCTAAGTCAGCAGTGTGGCATTGAATTACGCACTGCTCATAATGCACCTCCCAACCATGACCACCACCACACCCACACCCACCACCACCACAACAGACAGGCACCCCACGATCGAAACCATACGCGTTCAGACTCAGATGGCTCTGATAGATCCCGAGATGCTCAACACCGCCACAAACGACGCTCTCATGACCACAGTGAGCCGGTGTTTGCTTAATATTTGTCATAAAATTTTGAAGAGAATAGTCTAAAAGTTTATATACACACACATAAATGTCATTGTAAATGTGCTTCACTAGCTTTTTCCTCACTAGACATGGAACATCGTGCAAGTAAAGTAAAACTAGAATAATTTTATGATATGCACTAAACTCATTGTTATCTTGCATACAATATTGTAAGAAACGTTTAGATACACTGAGGTTCACTTTTCTACTCCTCGTTCAGAAATATACCTGTCTGAACAATATTTCTGAGAACTCCCACCACTTCCCAGCTTCAGATATACTGTATAAAGTAGGCAGAAAATAAGTCACAATAATATTGTTGAAAATTAATACCCAATCCACACATGAAAGAAAGTGATGATGCTTTGTTTCATCCTGGATTTCTATCAAGTTGTTTATATTTATGTACAAAGTATTTATTTTTATACAAGAAGGTACATTGGGTTGTGAGAGTACATAACATTGGTGTTTGCAACATTCTTGCAAATCCACTAAAATGCATAGCAATTTCAGGCAGGTTCTTAGTCTAACTGGTAAAAGTATTAATAGGTATAAGGTAGTTCTTACGAGAATGTAAGAACTCTTGTCTATATAAATAAAAAGATACACTGTAGTAAAATTTGAGTTCAACATAATAGCTACAATATAAATTTATAGCATTATTATATTGGTGAAGTTGCATATCATAAATACTAATATTGGGGGAGTGGATAGCACAAGTTACAGTGAGAGTTTGGAGCACAAGGTAGGAAATTATGAGGATGAAATTAGGTACTTTTTGGTTTTACTTCTGAATAAATCATAGATTGGTCAATTTTTAATTCATTGGGAAGTGAATTCCATAGACTGGGTCCTTTTGCATTAGGGAGTTTTGCATGGTCGTTTTGCACAGGTTTAGTGTGACTCTAGGAATGGGTTCTATTACATCTATCTAGGAAGAGTTTCAAATCAGGATTAACATTTTGGAATAAGATTTAGTACATATAGATAGCACACAAGAATGTGTGTAGTGAGTGTATGTTTAGCACGTTTAGGGATGTAAACAGAGGGTTTGTGTGTTGACTGTAGACAGTTTGTTATAGTAGATTCTTTGCTGGGTGATGATGGGCTTGAGGTAATTTGCAGTGGTTGAACCTCATGCACAGATACCATATATTAGACAGGGATAGATTAGCAAGTAGTATAGTGAAAGGAGAACAGAGTGGGGAACATAATATCTGATTTTAGAGAGTATACCAACAGTCTTTGACACCTTTTTGGCTATGTGTTGTATGTGGGTGCTGAAGTTTACTCTCCTGTCTATGTATAGACGAAGGAACTTTCCAACGTTTTTAATACTAATGTTAACATTGTCTATCTAAAAGTGAATTTGGTTTGAAGAGTTATTTTCAAATAAAATGTAGGTAGGTCTTTTCCATGTTTAGTTAGTTTGTTGCTCGACATCCATGAATGGATTTTTTTTTTTTTGTTATTTACAATATTATTTAGTGTGAGGGGTTGGGGTCTGAATAAATGAAGGTAGTATTGTCAGCAAATAATATAGGTTTAAGAATGTTAGAGACATTTGGCAAATCTTTTATGTATATAAGAAATACATTATTTGACACTGAATCTCTTATAGTTCTAAGATGCTGCCTGTGGCACTCCTACAGTTAATGGTAGAATGTGGGAGGTTATCTTATTGATGGCTACATATTGATGTCTGTCATTAAGACATGATCAATTATAGTTCAGAGTGAGGCCTCAAACTGCATAATGATAAAGTTTAAGTAAGAAGTAGCTATCGTTTACAATATCAAAGGCCTTTCTCAGGTCAATGAAGAGGCCAATTGGGAACTCATTTTTGTCAAGGGATGTGTAGATTATATCAAGCAGACTAATAATGGCATCATTAGTACTCTTTTGGGAATGGAAGCCAAACTGGCAGGGACTTAATATGTGGAATTTCACAAGGTAGGAGTTGAGTTGTTTGTAAATAATTTTGTCAAATATTTTTGATAGTATCAGTAGATTTGATATTGGTCTAATTGATTATATTACCTATATCGTCTCCTTTATTAACTGGAGATTTGCACACTTACTAATAATGTAGGCTAGAGTAAACATTAATTTTCCTTTCATCATGGAAATAACTCTACTATATCTTTACACATGAATTCTCTAGCATTTTCCTGTGGTCTCTCTTGTATATTAATGTTTGTTTTTGTATGTTATGTTGTCTTACTATGTGCACCAATATCACAGTTTGTAGTTCCCTGTTTCCCAATTGTGGCAGGGGTCAAGACTAAAATGTGAACACAGTATTGTACTTGTTAGAATCTGCTGCAGAGTTCACAAACTCATCGTGCTCCTTTCAGGTCGATCGGTTGGTTTTATTTACATTTTTCTCCACTTGTGGCTGAAAAAATATTTTGCCATATTCCCTTATTCCTCTTCATTAGCAGTTATGTTTTTTACAATTTTTCTCCACCTAGTAGTGTACTCCACTTTACCAGTGTACTGTACTGTATAACCATTCTAGGCCCTCATGATAAATTTTCTGTTTTCTAGCATTCCTTTTGGTTGGTGCTAGTTCTAACATTCCTCTTTGGTTGCATGTTTCATCTTTTTTGTACAGTAGCTGCTGTACTTCTTTATATTATTGAACCATGGACTGTTCATTTATTTCTCTAATTTTTGAGACTAATGACTCTATTGGTGGCTTCAGTGCATTTTCCTGTGGTAGTCTATTTTTTCTATATCTTCTTGTGCCATTTTATCGAGTTGAATGTTGTGTTCCAGGTAGAAGTTTCCTTGTGCTCTTATAACTAACTTCAGTATACAGTACTACCTTTCTGCTTTCCCCCTCTTTCCTTGCCCTACAGCTTCACTATCCTTAAGTACTTGAACATTAGGTTGCAGTGAGTAATGGCTGATTCTTCCTGGGTGAATATCAGGTCTGGTCTTGCTGGCTTGCCACTTATCATGTGAGTTGACACTGAGGAAGTTCATTATTTTGACATCCATTAGCTTTGGTCTCCATATCTCACCACAACTTTCATATTTAAAGTACTGTATTTTTATGTTTTGTGTGTTACACACCAGTAAAGTTATTTACACATATGTTATTCCTTTGAACAGCACGAGAGAGCAATGATCCATACACGTTGGTAGTTACTAGGACTCGTAACCTGCTAACTGACCCTCGGGATCCTCGAGAGGCCCAGAGGTACCGTGTAGCACGGGAGTTGCTTGACACAGAGAAGAAGTACTGCAAGACTCTCTGGACCATTCAGGACACTTTTGCAGACCCACTCAAGAAGGCAGGGATACTCTCACACAAAGATATAACGTTAGTACATTATGTTTTGCTCTAGTGGCACATAAATATCTATTATTTCTAGGCAGTAACAATGTATGGATGATTAGGAATCTAACTAAGAAAAAGGAAGTCTGGTACCAAAAACGTACATATGGCATTCTGTATTTTTCTGGGGAGAGCCTTCGGCTCCCTGGAGCTTACTAGGCTGATATGCTAATGTCAGACTTTGGCATCAGTCATATGTATAGAGTTCTGTGGGCCTACCGGGGAACACGAGCCAGAACCTGGCGCCCCCCCCTCCCTCAGAGAGGCATGGGGAGCAATGGCCTATAGACACCCCCGTGTGGTTGGAAGCATTCTATGTCTGCCATCGACCGGGTCAGAAAGGTAAGAAAGGTCACCCAGAAAGGTAAGCATCCCAAAACAAACCCCTATTCTGGTGAAAATATTGCTACCAAAAACCGAACAAGTGGATAGAACTCCCCTAAAAGAAACGAGCAAATGAACATGATGTCACACGTTGCTGCGCCGCTGTCTGCGCAGCTCCCCCCTCCCCGGGAGGGGGGAGGGGGGAGCCCCAGAACCCCCCATGCCGGCTATCCACCTGTCAGTTCTAAGGCTGATGCTAGAGGCGGAGGTCGTGTGCTTGGCTCCAGTGATTCCTGCACTGCGCTTTGCATGTGGTGGCTGTTTTCCAGGGGGGTGCGAGAGCCAGGAGTCATTCTGCAGTACTTGGGCTGCATGCGCTTAGGGTTATCATCCCTAGGTGCCTTGTAAGTACTGCCCTTGGAGCTTGGGGTTGCCTTCCACAAGTTCCTCGGAACCTGCCTGGGCCGTTATACTGCTCGGTTTTTCGGCTGCCCTTTGGGTGCTTGAGGGTTTTGTCTTCCTTGTTTACCTTAGGGTAAGAGGCAGTTTTGCACTGGTGCGGGGTGCAGGGTACTGCACAGCTAGTTGTCACCATTCACAGCGGCCAGCTCTTTTCCTTGGGATGCGTTGTCCTCTTGCGGAGTTTTGTTTTTGTTTTGCCTTATGGGGTAGTCTGCCTTGTTTCCCCCCTTTTTGTGCCTGACCTGTGCACGGTTCTCTTCAGGTGGAGCCTCCTGCTAGGTCCCCGTGAGTGTACACGTCCCTGGGGTTCAGCTTTAGAAACTTGCTCGGTATTTGTGGGTGACGGTTAGCAGTACCCTACCTGGGGTTACCTAGGAGTGAGTTACGTTAAGCACTCAGGACCTTGGGAATCCCCTTGGGGGCGCGTGGGTCCGATGGATGTGTCCCCAGGGGCCCCCCCTCGCTTCGTACAAGTTCAAGGGTTGCTCGGTCCCCTTGACTCAGGGTGACCCTCACGATTTCTGCCTCTGTCACACTGCCTGTTGGGTCTGTGACACTTTCGACCCGGAGTCCTGCAAGTTCTGTTGCTTGCTGGTGACTCAGTTTACCCAGTCTCATGATGATGTTCTACTGGTACAGGCGGCGCAGGCGTTGCATGCACGCTTTAGGTTGTTGCAACGCGCTAGGTTGGTTGCTCACCCGGATGCCCCGAGGCTGCCCTGTTTTGCCTATAGGGACCCGGACTTGGGGGTGGGGGTCGCTTCGACCTTGGTTCAGTCCACGCCCCCTAGTCCTTTCCCTGTTGTGGTTCATTCTGGTTCATTCTGCAGTAAAGTGTGATGTTTGCTTGTTTGCTTGTTTCCTTGGGATTATAGGGAGTTTCTACCTCTGTTCGTTTTTTTGTTTTAGTTTTTTACCATGTGGGGTTTGTTTTGTTATGCCTACCTTTCTGGGTGCCTAACTCCGGTCGATGGCAGATAAGGAAAACCCCAACCACAAGGGGGTTTTCCAGGGCCATTGTTCCCTGAAACCTCTCTGAAGGGGCCAGGTTCTGGTGCTGGTCCCTGGTAAGTCTGAACTCCTTAGCTAATGTCCCAGTCTAATATAACATACATTAGCCCGATAAGCTCCAGGGAGCCTCCGGGGCTCACCCAGAAAATGGCATTTCATTACATTCAACGCTAGTTTTTTACAAAATATTCAAAAATAAAATATTAAAATAAGACAGTTAAAAATTATAAAATACTGAATCCCTAAATATTAAGAATGAATATTATTAGTGCTATGATTTGTTTAAAGCTATTTTTTATCCCATGTGTACATTCTTTTTCTCAGTACAAACATGTGATAATTCAAGCTTCTTGAAATTGAATTGAAATTGAAATAAGTTTATTGAGGTAAAATACACACAAAGGGATGAGGTAGCTCAAGCTATTCTCACCCCATTCAGTACAACGTGTTAATATATACATAGACACACATCACAAATAAACACATTACCAAACATTTTGAGAGGTAAAAATATACATTTCCTCCTTCACAAGTAGTATGGTATCAGACGTACACACAAATACTTTTATGACCTAGGTATACTGTATAGACAATTTGCAAGACACCTGCAGATAATTCAACAAAATATTACAATCTTGGTGCAAAATTTTTATATCTCTCAAGAATATCATCAACCTTTCCGTTGTGACACATCCAGGCTATTTGTTCAGGAACAGTCCTTATCTCAGTGTTTCTATATACACTAATCAACGGACAATCAAGAACATAATGGGCAAGGGTGTGAGACCTTAACATACCACATAGTTTACACTTCGTGTCATTACCATGAACATCTATCCCATATTCCCAGTAATATTTGTACCCAAGCCTGAGCCGCATGTACACAGAGTCACTCCAAGCATTTCTCCTTTTACCATAAGTGAAATGGGTGTTTTGACTCACATACATGTAGTGTTGCATGGTTTGACTACTCTCATACATTATCTCTCTCCTCTCCACTCCCGCCTGTGCCTGAATATTTCTGATTTTGCTTCTTATTTGTCTCATTGTGAATTCACATTCAATGTCAACTTGTGGTTTTGATGTGGCACGTTTGGCCAAGTCATCCGCCACCTCGTTGAGCACTATTCCAACATGAGATGGAATCCACATGAATTTCACACTATAACCTTTCAGCTGTATCTCAGTTATTCTTCTCTTACAGTCCTCCACTATAGACATGAAGACTGGGTTTCGACTGTTTAAGGACTCCAGTGCTCCTCGGCTATCGACAAATACAAAAACATTTTTGTCGTCATGACGTACTTCCTTCAAACACGCCAGAATGGCGTGCCTCAAGCTTCTTTGGTTCCTGGAATGGAAATGGACAATGAGGCTCAAATTATGTGTAGAATGTAATGCACAGGGGAAGCTTGTATACCAGTGTGTAGATATTCCCTCGAAGGAGGGAATATCTTAAAAGAACTGTGTCACTGAAGACAGAGATTCTGAGCAGTTATATTGAATGAGGAAGTTAGATATTGAAGCAAATTTTAAAGGGTAAGAAAACTCGAAAACACTAAGATAATGAAGGAAATTTTTTTAAGGAACCAAGCGTGACAATTTTCAGTGAAAATAATGTATGAAGCATGGGTTGGGTTGGGTACTGTATTATGTAAGATAGGTAGCCAAGAAAACAGCATTTGGGTTTGGGATAGACAGAGCTAAGTGAACTAAAATTATATTATCTTGAGATAATATGATTAAAATACAGTAAAGTGAATTTGGCTTGAGTGAGTAAAAGGTAATTTAAAAGGCAACAAAATGTAATGAGAAAATACATGGCAACTACAGTATACAGTACTTTATGTAAAAATAAATATGGACTTAAAACAAAAAATTATATGTACATACGGTAGAAATTCTATGGAATGGTGCAAGTGAGACGAAAAAAGATTGAATATCTATAATATTTTCTTCCTCAGGACTTTGTTCCCAGAGGAAGTGTACCAGCTGTACGACAAACACTGTCTGCTCCAACATCAGCTGCGGGAGCGTCTTGCATCTTGGAAGTGGCAGCCACTCGTGGGCGACATAGTATCTCGGTTTACAGATCCACGACACACAGATGTTCTCCGCCTCTATACTGCCTACGTCAATGACTTTCCAGAGGTTCTCAAAACATTCCACAAACTTTGTCGTACATCCCAGCCTTTCACTAAGTTTATCAAGGTTAGTTGCCTACTTACTTATAGACAACTTACATTTCCTTGTAACATTTTCTCTCTTTTTGGCCTTAAATATTATCTACTCATTAAAATGATATATTGGAGCCTTTGAGACACATGATTCATCATTTGTAGTACATTGTTATGTTTGGAGTTGTCAGTACAGTGGTAGCATGCTGTCTATATTCACTTGACATGCTCTCATCTCTCCATGTTGTCATTGTTCAGGGTCTAGTGAAACTCATACAGGTGTGGATAGTGTATAGACACTATAATGTAGGCCTTTTTTTTTATCCCACCCATGATACTCCAAATCATACCATGGTCTTCATATGCCAGTAAGTTTCTTTGTGGTAAACTGGTTTTTATACATTGTCATTATTTTTCCAACCACTTCTTCCCTTAAATGAGTATTTAATACATATTTTCACGCTTATAATATTTCATCAATTTTCTCATCGTGACTACTTAACTCATAATAATGTGTGTATACACTATCACGTTCATCACTTATGGGTTGGGAGGCATCACTACTTACAATTTAAATAATGTATAACTTATTTTGATCATTTGTAGGTACAGTATATTATTACAGATTATACGAGACTAATAAAATACTATGATTTAATTGATATACATCGTTTAGAATTGCAGCTCAGTGGGTAGCTATTTTAAGTAGAGAATGCTAGAATTGTTTTTTTCTAAGGAATTTTTTAGTATTATGGCTTTAAAATTTTTGCATGAATTTATATTTTTATAAATTCCTGACCTGTAATTGGATATTTATGCAGTTTTAAACTGACATGATTACCCATCTCTCCCATGTGTGATGGATAGACAGATTCAAGCTATCTAACTTATATCTAGTTAATGGTGGTCAAAATTATTATAGTTGCAATTGGTCAGTGTACACCATTCACTGATAATGCAATTACCAGCATGTGTAAACTCTAAGTATTAATATAAAAACATTTCATCATAGCATTTCAATTGTATATGCAAAGCACTTACCATTGTGTGTGGGATAATGTCATCTAAAATATTTGTTTTTACATTTTCAGGGTTGCTTAGAGCAGCCAGCATGTGGGGGTCTAGACCTCGGGGCATTTCTGCTGACCCCTGTGCAGCGTGTACCTCGGTACATCCTTCTCATGAAACAGCTGCTGAAGTATACAGATCCACAGCACCCTGACTACCAGCATTTGCACTCCTGTCTGGACCGACTTAGGGATTTCCTTGCACGGCTCAATGATTCCATGGAGCATTCCTTTCAGCTGGTGCACGCCCAGCTCTCTCCCCATGGCCCAGTCCCCGGGTCTGCCCATCACCACCCACCACCACCGCCACCTCCTTCCCATCACAGGTCCAGTAAACCTCATCCCAGTCAGTCTAAGAGGCGAGCAAATCTTATTATTGTTTGTATTTTTTTTTTTAAGTTAGGGCTGTTTTTGCACAAAGTTTTCTGTTTCCTACTTTTATGGAGTAGAAGCACATGCCCTGAAAGGTTAGAGGTCACGAGGGTTAAAGGTAGTGATGGCTGTCCTCTTATGCCTTCTCACTAGCATAAAGGGCAACTGTTGACAACACACAATGCTAAACTTTACACAGCAGCATCTCAGCAATTTACTAAGTTAGGTTTAAAGGTTTAAAGTACAGTATTTTATGTAAATTGTTAATCTTTCACTATTTTGTAACAAACCAATTCCACTAGACTCCTTATCATTGTCACTTCTCACACATTCTACAGTCTTCCAAATAAGCCTAGGTTTGAAATAAAAATAAAGACTGTAGACATGTATGAATGTTAAAATTTTGTTATGATAAGGTTTATATTTGATACTTTGCTTCTTTTGGAATGCAAGGCCCTATTATCACATGCAGAATATGGAAAAAAAACATTCCAGACTCTTGCTATCACTACACCCTCAGATCTTTAAGCGTTTTTGCTAATTTGCATATTTTTTGGTATAAAAAGTAGTAATTTCAAACTCAAAATATGTGCAATCATCCTGAATTCTGCTCAAAATAACGCTCAAGAGTCATATTTCTGATAGGCATCATATTTTGAAAACTGCAGGGGATATGGGCAAAATATTACCAATCACTGTTTCACTAATTTACATATTTTCGGTATAAAAAATCGTAATTTAAAACTCCAAATATGTGCAATATCTCAAGAAGCACATCAATAAACTGGAAAAGGTGCAAAGGTATGGCTATAAAATGGATTCCAGACCTGAAAAACTGGAATTATGAAGAGAGGCTAGAAGCACTAAATATGCTAAAGGTAGAAGATAGAAGAAAAAGAGGAGATATAATCATCACTTTCAAAATAATGGCAGGAATTGACCAAATTGACAAAGAGTAATTCCTGAAACTGTCAACCTCAAGAACAAAAGGTCAATAGTTGAAGCTAAGGAAATAAAGGTACTGTACCGAAAAAATATTAGAAAGTTTCTTGCTGGATGATACAAATGGTTAGTATTGTAAAAAGCAATGTGGATGATGAGTGCATTGCTGTCATTGTATCTGACAATTATGGGTAACAGTGACAAGCCATGCATAGACTTCTAATCTCCAACTGGGTGTACTCATGGCCAAAATTTTAGCAACATTCTACTGGAAGTTTTACATAAACATTTTGCAAATATTTTCAACTGTGATGCTCATAGGTTTTTTTCCCAACAGGACTGGACGGTCTCCTCGAAGATCAAGCTCTTCCATAGGCAGTCCACCATTAAGTCCCAGCAGCCCGACTTACAGTCCTGATAGAACGAGCCTTGGCTGCAGCCCAGAAAGACAAGAGCGTTCACCAAGCTGCTCACAATCCATAACAAGTCCACAAAGATCACACAGCAGTGCCACACAGCCATCTTGTCGTCCTCGATCTGTGTTCTTAGATACCAGATCTTCATCTCTGCCGCGAGGGTCAGCTAGCTCCAGTAGTGGATCACAAGAAAGTGCCTTCTCGCCTAGCAGTGAGATTCCCCGTGTCAGATCTCGTAGTGAAAGTGTTGCGTCTCGTCGCCCGCTCCCATCACACACCCACCACACGGCACAGACTCTTGTCACTCAAGAGGCACCTCGCTCTTTAGCTCCTGCTCACTCTGTGGTTGATGTAACGGTTCACAGCAGCCCCAGTCACGAGTCGGGGCATTGGGAGGATCTGGCTGCTAGTGAGCCCTCTCTTAATGACCCTCGCCCTGTTCACATCTCAAATGATGCCAACAGGCCATTGGCATCCCACACACTTACCTCCGCTCACAGTGTGCACAACGTGGACGGACAGCAGAAGCTGACTACTCCCACCTGGACAGAATCTTCCCATTCCGAGGACCCTCGTAGCAAGAAAAAATCTTCCATTCGCACCTCTCTCAAGAATATGTTCACCTTCAAGAAGAGGTATGTTCACCATCCACACTCTTCATGTGCCTCTACATTCACGGTGACCAGACCACACATCTATAAATCACAGAGTAACTTTCCACAAGGTGACACACCCTCACACTCACTTCCCATGGATCTAACCACATCTGAAGGCTCATCTGGGATTATGAGACAAGGATCTAACAGCCTTTTAGAGGAGGATCTTAATGAGAGCTTGAATTATGCTTTCAAAGGCTCACTTTATGTGTTGCATGAGAGTTCTGTCTAATTCTTTCCTCTTATGTTTGGCTAGCACCCTAGATCTCGGGCACTTTAATAGGCTGTCACTGAAATAACATTTCTTCTTTCTGAGATCTGGGTACAGTATATGAGGAGTTATTGACCTCTTCATGTCATGCAAGAACTTCCTGTCAAATGAGTAATATTGTACAATAACATGCAGGCATTATTTACTGTTAGCTTTTCTGATGTATACTGCGACTCACACGGTGTGCCTTCTATCCTTGTGCCTGACAGTAAGCTGACACCAATGGAAGCCTCACCTCAGGTATTTGTTCCTCATAGATCTATAGAGTCACTTAGATTATAATAGTTTTCACTTGTTATCTTAGCTTATCACATGCATTTGTTTTCAGTCTTTTTTTCTTCTCTTTAATGTGGATGTGAATTCAAGTTGCTAATATAAGATGAATGTTGAAGTTGAATATATTTTTTAATATACTAGTATAGCTTCTTAATTAAATATATAGATATACTGTGATAGGCCAAGTTGCTTAACAAGCTGAATATTCTCAAAATATTATATTTAAAAAAAAATTCTTGTAGAATGATAAAGCTTTCCATTATATTTTATATGATTTGATTATTTTTAATTTGAGCTAAAACTAACATAGAAATTTGATCAAACCTATCCTAACCCAACATAACTATGGTAAGTCAGTAATTCATGTGTTTAATATACTGTAATATAATAATATTAATTGGAATTAACCAATTTGGAAAGGGATATTTGAATATACTAAAAATCACTGCTTGTTAGGCAAATCAGACCTTGCATACTAGGCCAAGTGCAGTTCTGGCTTTTAGGTATGACATATATACATATACAGTACAGTATATATATACACAGGTGTATATATAAAAGAATCTAAGAATAAGAAATATATTTTAATAGTGGTTACATTATAATTTTCTTGCTTATTTGTAATTTATGGCAATATTGAATATGATACATACCTAGGTCAGTGGTTTTCTCCGAGTACAGTACTGCACTACAGGTATTTAAATGTAACGTTGAGGACGCATACTAGTAATTGACAGCGCATCATTCACCCTAGGCGAGTCATCCTGCCATCATCCCTTTCATCTTCAGTTAAAGAGTAGGTAGGTGAATGAATGAATAGGAAAAAGCAATTATTAAGGTACAGCATTAAGCCAGTATGATTGTGTAGCACCTTAACATACAAGTCAATCCAGAGAATTAAATACCCAGTACTATTCAAGATACTGATACGAAAGCAGGACATGAGGCTTTCTATGTGAAGTGTGTCGCTTACGGGGGTGCAGTGCCAATTTTATAGGTGCCGGAGCTCTGGTGGGCCTAACAAAAGCCTGTCTTTTTTATCTTGTTTCTATGTATGTCACACGTTTAAATATTTCGTGTTTGTACTCGCTTATTATCATAAAATATAATTATCAAGTAAATAAAGAAAAAACATCAATCATATATTTATCAATTTAAGACGTTCACACACACCTAGTGCTCACAAAATAAAACCATTTTGAGAAGTTTCACAACAGTTTCTACAAAGGGTCAGGTGTGAGATGTTTTCAGGGGTGTGAATCAACTCTTGTCTTGGTGTCATCTGCCGATCTGTGATACTGCAGTCATGATATGGCATATGGCTCAGGATTCCACTGAACTACAGGAGGTCCATGTAGTTTAACACACATAAGTGCTGATACATGATTTATGATAATTCTTGAGCTTATTGTTGTTATCAGGTTCATGTGACTGAATCCCCTCTCACACTTAGCCCATCCTCGCATACAAAGCTCAAAGCTTGTTAATTCAGCCCCCAAACCCCGTTAATGAATGAAAAAAACGGTTTACACACGACTCACAACTGATGACGTCCAAACACTTCCAGAACAAGCATTTCGCTCACGTCCTCTGTTCGAACCACAATTCTATAAATGCTTTAACCACGTATGGTACTTCAAATACAAATAATTACCAACAGAACCTAAACACCTAACCTAACCTAACCTGACCTACGCCCAACTATTCATGAAATTTTTCTGTATAATAATATTGATTTATATATGAGAATAAACAAAGTTTTAATACACAGTATATTAAAATTGATGAATGCATCTGGGGGAGGACGGCGGCTGCTTTAAACAGCCTAGTGTAAGGACGGGTTGCAGCAGTACTAATAGGAAAAACTTGTAAACACCTCAGTAGTGGGTGTAAATCTTGGGGGCTGTGGCATCCATGATCCCCCACGTAGTCTCTAAAGATATTTAATGCAGAGTAAGAAGAAAGCTTAAACCTCTTACAGAGATAATATCAGCTTCACCATAATTAGATGGTATTTCATCAGGCTAGTAGTCTTACTAAGGACACACATTTCACTTAGCAGTGAGTTATACGTACAGTGGAACCTCGATTAACGAATTTAATCCGTTCCAGCACTGAGCGCGTCATGTGAAATGCTCATCTTTCAAAACGAATTTCCCCATTTAAAATATTGGGAATATAAATAATTTGTTCCACTACCAAAAAACATCAATATGATATTATATTTTTTTAAATAATGGAGCAGCCTACCGGACATACACTGAACGAACCTTCATGACATTTGTTCGTTTTTCAACTTTGTTCACTTTGATAAGTGTGTTGGGTATTGTTTCCAGATTCGTACCAGTACAATTCAGCCTGTTTACTTTTTAAATATACAGTATGAAAATTTACATATTATTGAATCTTTAAAAAAAACAAGAAATGTTATAACATTATTAACTCATTAGTGATGTAATACTAATATTTTCCTTCCACGATCAACAATCACCCACAAGCCATCATCACCCTTTTCCCTCATCCTCTCTCCCTTTCCCCCATTCCATCATCCACTTTCAGTGCCGCCGAGCTCTGGTAGCACTGCACCACTGATCACTAATCATATTAAATGACAACTATGTATAGTTTAAGGGTAACAAATACTCATTTCCAAGGAGAGGTGACATAAACATTGTGTCTGGGAAAGCAGAAAAACCTACACTAGCTGTAAATTTTGAGCCATCAGTAAAAAAAAAAAAAAAAAAAAAAAAAAAAGTAAAATAACAAATTGTGCTTAACACAGCTGGAACTGTGAAGGGTTTGATGTTACACTTCAGTGTTTTGGAAAAGCAGATGATTGACATTTTCCATGGTAGAATTATATGTGGGAATATATTGCCAGGTTAAATAAACGGCATTAGAATACGCTTATTACTTGTATTCTAAGGAGTTGTAAGGTCTTATGGGAGGTCAGAAACATTGACACTGGCTAAAACTCTTATGTTAACGTGAGTAACGTCCATAGTATAGAGACTGAAATTGAAATGCGTAATCAAAATAAGGCCAAAATAAAGTTGATAAATATTAATGTATTATTGCTAATGCTTCTAGAAATAAATCCTGGTGTCTTTATTGCTCTGTTCCATACAGTATACATTGATATTGTTTTTAGCTTAAGAGCCCTAGTGATCATGACAGTCAAGATCTTTCTCATATTCAGATTTTGCAGTTTCAACATTGCCCAGCTGATATCTAGTAACTGTTATTGCCTAAGCTCAGACCAGAATTTTTTTTAGCATTAAACTGCATCTGCCAATCATTCATCAATTTCAAAAGCCTATCTGGCTTGGTGCCCTCTTTTGATAATTACTTACTTAATCTTAATAGGCTTTCAAAGTGTCTTGTTAGTTTCTGTCTTCATCTGAATTTGTTTCCTACCCCTATTTTTATATTGTCTGTAAATTTGCAAGTATTATTATTCAGTCCTATCTAAATTGTTTATTGTGATCCCCAGGACAGAGCCCTGTGGCACTCTACCTATAATAGTTTTTCACACGAATTTAACTCCATTTATGCTAAAGCTCTAATTTCTTTGAAATAAACAAGCCCTAACAAACCTCCAAGGCTGTGTGCCTCTAACTGCTTGAAATACCCGTATACTAGGAAAAAAAAAAAAAAAAAAAAAAAAAAGAGTACCAGGTAAATTTGTTAAACATGAGCGGTCCTTTGTCAAACTGTTGTGAATCCTTTATCTTTAATTTTCAAGATATAAATGAATGGCTGTTGCGATTATAGATTCAAGCAATTTTGCTACAATAGATGTTAGGCTGATTGAACAATAGTTTGATGCAACAGATAATAGCTCTTTATTATGCATATGTTATTCTTTGTCAATGTTGTTATTATCACAGTTTTTTATCAATTTAATAAACACGTCTATTAATTCTTGTCTAATATTATTATACTTATATAATTAAAGAACTATGGACAAAATTAAGAAAAAGTTTCGATCGATTGTTCTCTTCAGACTGCCTAGTATCCAAGTGCTCAGGAAAGTTTTAAGATATACTGTAAAGACCTTAGATATTTGTTGAGTGACATTACATTAAATATAACACTGGGCCTAACAAGTGAACTTTTGGGTGTGTGTGATAACTTTGTCTTGTGTGTTCGACTCTGGCATGCTCTTCTAGGTAATTAATACCGCATACTCTGGGAATACTCTTTGCTGGTAGCGAGTCAGATTAAAAAACTTGTCTTTGTATTCTCTCTCTCAAGTAGGTTATGAAAGGTTTGAACAAGTTGGCAAACATTTTATTCTGCCACATGTGAAATGTTGCATTGAATGCTGGTGTGCTGTGAGCGTCCATACTGCCAAGACTCGGTCATGAGGTCATGCTGAAGTACACTTGTGCACTGAACACTTGTGAGAGTTAATTGGTACAGCCACTGAGCTCCCAATACCTATATAAGCTGTGTGTGTTGTGAGATTGTCACACAAACATTTCAGAGATGTAAGCTAGCAATATAAATCAAGGAATTTTTTAGGATTATAAATGTGTACTGTAACAATCTACAACAAAATTGTGTGCTTAAAAAATTATATATGCTTTGACTTGCATGTTAGTAACTTTCAATACAGTACTGTGTGTAATGTTCAGAATGTCAGTAAATATTTAATTCCTGTGTCCAATGAAATTTCAAGAATAGAGGACCCATTTAGCAGTTTTGCAAAATGGTACCACTAGAAAATAACAATTTGTGGTACAATATTTCCACATCAGAAAGCTTTGTTCTTATAAACCTGAAGTGATTTGCCTTGTTATTAACTTATTAGATTTTCGTTTTTGTGTGTTTAATGCCTAGTTGCATAAGTGTACATGCTTGCCCTAATGTACGTCTTTAATGCAGATTCTTTTGAGTGCTTGCCCCCTATTCATAGATCTTCTGTAAAACCTCTACATTACTTTAATGCACTGTTATGATTATTTGCATTCTTTATACATTAAATAGTTATTGATATTTTCAATGGTATATTATGTTTTAAATATTGTACTTTGTTGGGTGGATATAAATAGGAGCTGCCTTGTATGGGCCAATAGCCCTTCTGCAGTTACCTTCATTCTTATGATCTTATTTTCAGTATTTATTTTATGTTTCTGGGCATGCCTCTCAGTAGCCCCTGGTACATTGGCTATGGTACCACAGACACCTGTAATGCTTCCAGGTGCACACCCATCAAACATCAGGATCAAAGTCAGGTGTGACAGAGATATAGGGAATATGGGAATTAAGTGATCAACCCAAAGCCAAGAAAACTCTCCCAGATAGTTCAGGCTGAGAAAAACAAGCTGCATATTAAAAACAAAAAAACTGAAATAAAGTTAGTAGTAGTTTGTGGATAGTAACTAGTTAAATCTAATCAAATCAAATCAAATGTTTATTCAGTTAAAAGTACATGTACATATATACAAGATGAGTTACAAACACTGTTGGATTTCTAGAAAGAGCTAGTACATAAAATGCCTAAAGCCACTAATACGTACAGCGTTTAGTCATCACACTAAAACCGAGTCTGGCTGCCTCCTCTCTCACGAGCTGCTCCAAAAGCACACCCGATCCCCACAAGGAAGAAAGGCAGATACGGAGAGCTATTTAGCCACTCGGAAAATGGAGTTTCATTACATTCAATGATCAATTTCTAGGCTAGTCCTCTGTAGATACACATGGGTTACTCTTGAACAGCACCTCAGAGAGGAAACAGTTTTTGTGATGAAATTAACAGATTAATAAAGGAAGGCAGAGAAGGCTGACCCAGCAAGGATGGGCAACATCCACTTTGTAATGAGCAGCTAATGCTTGGTTATACCATCAGAAACTCCAATCCTGAATATTAGCTATAGACATATTAGCAAAGACAGCAGTAATAGCACAAATACTTATGTAAATCAAGCCTGGCTTTAGAGCAAGACACCAAAGAAATAGACTAAGAGCACCACAGCACAGGAATTGAGAGATGCAGCACTAGTTGCATGCTAATCAGAAACAAGAAAGTAGGCATGAAGCGCTCCCAGCTGAACACACCAAGTGTCCACCACCAGCAAACTCTCCCAACAAAAAGCAGAGGATTCATTTTTGGCCAAAAAGGATGAAAAAGACTAGACAAAAGGAACAAGATTCCTTTGTGTAGCGATGAACATGAAGTTTGCAAATGCAACTACCAAATGCCATAGCCAACAGGGTGGTGACTATAAGGAAAGAATCTGATTTAAGGACCAAGTAGGTTCCAGAAGAATGGGAACTGGACTGCAGGTGAAAAAAAAAGAACTGGAGCAACTTAAGGAAAGAGAGAGAAGAAACATCTATATCAAAAGCAAGTGAGGACAAGGTTGAACAGTATGATTTGGTCTTCCTAAACATCTACTCCTCTACTAAGCAGTCATTCGCAATTTGTTGGAGAATGGCATCATTTTAATGACTACGTCCCTCTGATTCTAAAGAATCACTTGATGGATCCTCAGTTCATCCTCAATATCTCCTTACTCAGGTTTGCCAGGTGGATTTTAGTCAGTCTTGGTTCATTTTCCTGGATCTATGGGATGTTTATTGGCAGATTTCCAGCCATCTGAAGTTCAGGACCCTAGCAGTACAATACTAGTAAAGTTCCTGGCATTACCATTAAAGTGTGGTGTTGATGTTCCATTTTACTGTTCCCACCTGCTTTTGTTCTTCACCTTCTCCGTATGGTTCCTGATGCATGTGGTTGGTGCCCTGTCTCTTACAGTCGGCCGCCCCGCGATCATCACCACCACCACTACCACCTCAGCCACCACAACCACAGTCATCAGCAGCAATTAAGGTACCATTTCGTGCAATTATATGTAGCCAGTAGTGTGACATTTAATTGTTTGAAGTAGTCAGCACACATCATGCACGAGAGCACATAAAAAAAACACAGGAAAGCTTGTCATTAGTGTTTCGTATGTAAATGGCAACATAAACATTACATATGTGATATAAATTCCAGGGTTGATATTGATTAGGAATATAGTGGGAAAACTTAAAGCAGTGCTTCATTGTGTTTGTCTGATCATCTGGTTAAGTGGTCGACTGAATGTACAATATTTTGAATAGCAGCATTTCAATTATCCACACCAAATATTATTAAATAGGGTAGAGTTAAAATATTTCCCCATCATAAATATTCATGGGTTCTAGATTTTTTTAGTTACATGGAGTACAATACAACTTGGTGAAAGCTGACAGATGCAGGCCTTGGGTTACTCAAGCATGGTAGTTAACTTGGGAAATAAAGATGTAATGAAGTCATTCCATGTCAGTTCACCCAGATTTTGAATAAATTTGTCATCATCCTCTCCAATTTTGATGTAATATGGTACACTTATAGAGTTTGGCGAGAGAAATTAAATGACTTGTCTCCCATCTGTAGCCAAAACGGTTCCAGAAATACACGACCTTGAATTTTGCAAAATGGGTAAATTTTCCATGGTCATGCTTTATTTCAAGAGGATGTATGTCAGTTCCTATGGCACAGAGTTCATTAAAAACTACCATTTTTAAAGGTATTGGGTGGCTCTAACTTGTATTCTATGCATATTTTAAATCGATGATCAAATAAAAGAGTAGGCTATAAATTTAACCTTTGACATCAAACCAGATTTTTTCAAACTCAAATCATTTATTGGTATAAATGTGTGCTTTAGTATATGCCTTGGTATATTGATATATTCTAATGAATATAGTATATATGTACTATATCTATATACATGTACAAGATCTATATATGTACCAAATTGCATCAAAATCATAGATGGTGCCAGAAACCACCTGGGTGAACCAACATGGAATAACCCAATGATCAAATTGCCAGAATTAATATTAAGGGAGTTGAATGATTTAGAAAAATGCAAAACATGCAAAAAATGTTTAACAAATGTAAAATTATTGAGGCAGAGGGTAAATAGTTACGAGCAATATCATATTGATGATCACAAATTTTATGAAAAGAAACTTTCCTAACATGAAACAAATGGAATGAAGGATTAAGAGAGACAGAAATACTTCAATGTTGTGAGAGCAGGATATGTGTATCTTATGGGACTGATACACTGGAAGGTGTTAAGAGGGAAAACTGTGTCATGTTGATGAATAGAGATACTCAGAGACTCGTCTGATGGAAGATGTGAGAAGCTTGCTAGAGGAGAACCTGTGTGTATCTTTCACAGAGATGCTCAGGAAAGTTATGAGAAGATATGCATGTATTACATTTGATGATGCAGATGGTGAAGGCTTTGTGGGATGTGGACATTAGTATATCTTAAATGCCTGGGGTGTTTTGAGAGAAGAACCTGTATGTGTGTCTTAACGGAGAAGTATGGATAGGTTGCGAGAGTCAGAGATGTGTGTCTATGACAGATATTTGGAGGTGTTGTGTGTCCTTGATAACTTTAGCAAGATAATTGAATGATTGAAGCCAGGCAATAAAACACCAGGATCAAATATTTTTGGTCCAAAATTAAATTCGTCTAAACGAATTTGTAACTTCAGTGAGAATTTTTTGAATGACTACAATAAAGGATACTTTATTGAGCTACGGCCTCGCACGTGTGGGGGCTACGGTTTGAGACCCATACAGTCCAGTTGAATGGAAAGGGTACTTTATTTATTGGACGTTTCAGAGCTGCACCATTTGGTCACTTAGGGCAGGTCAACATTTTGCTTGAGCATACCAGGTATCACATCAGACATCCCTATTCAGTCATAATTGTGCAAAGGAAACACTGTCTAGTTCTCAATTGACCTCAGAATGACTTCAAAAAAGGATCATTTAACTTCATTCAAATTCCTTCTAAAACTGCTCACCATCAATCAGACCTCGGAGTAGCACACTGTTAATCACTAGTTGACCCACCTGACTGCTTTTC